CAGACACCCTGTGAGGTAGGTGGGGCTGAGAGAGCTCTGACAGAAACTGCTCTTTTTCAAGGACAGCTCTTATCAGAACTACGGCTTGCCCAAGGTCATCCAGCCAGGTGCAAGTGGAGGAGTGGGGAATCAAACCTGGTTCTCCCAGATTAGAGTCCACAGCACTTAACCACTACACCAAACTGGTGGAGAAGAGACTGGATTCATACCCCGCCCTTCACTACCCAGAGGAGTCTCAGAGCGGCTTACAAACTCCTTTTCCCTTCCCCTCCCCACAACAGACACCCTGTGAGGTAGGTGGGGCTGGGAGAGCTCTTGACAGAAACTGCTCTTTTTCAAGAACAGCTCTTATCAGAACTGTGGCTTGCCCAAGGCCATCCAGCCAGGTGCAAGTGGAGGAGTGGGGAATCAAACCCGGTTCTCCCAGATTAGAGTCCCCGCACACTTAACCACTACACCAAACTGGCTCTCAGTTGGCTGCCATCAGCCAGGCCCAGATCGACAGCTGTGTAATCCGCAGATGGAGGAAAGCCAAACCCACCCACCCCCAACTACTGATGATTTGGCCTTAGGGCTTTACATAAAGACAGAAGGGGGGGGGGATTGCACCCTGGCCATCCCAGCAAATAACTATTGGGCTGCAACCACAGGCACGAAAGAATACACTTTCAATGCACTTTCCAACTGGCTTTTTTGCCAGTTCACACAGTAAAAAAACAAGAACCCCACAACAGTTGGAAAGTGCTTTGAAAGTGGATTCTTTAGTGTGTGTGATTGCAGCCCTGTTTCCAGTGACCATTCCTTGGGTCCGGAGGGTGAGGAAGGGTTTGATCCGCTCCAACCCACAGCCCCCCCCCCCCAAATGCCCACTTCTGCAACCGGGCGCCCCAGCAAGACGGTTTCGAGGGCGGGAGCTATTCATTTGCATTTTAGGCATGTTTCAGAGGGTTAAAAAGGTAAAGGTTCCCCTTGCTCGAAAGCCAGTCGAGTCCGACTCTAGGGTTGCGGTGCTCATCTCCGTTTCCAAGCCGAAGAGCCAGCGCTGTCCGAAGACGTTTCCGTGGTCATGTGGCCGACATGACTAAACACCAAGGCGCACGGGGGAAAAAGCAGGCGGGAGCCGCATTTCTCTCTCTCCTAGGACTGAAAAGCTTATCCCTCCCCTCCCCCGTGACTTACTTGTGAGTAAACCTTCCCGGGCGCCCTGCAAGGCTCTTTCCCTCCCCTTGCAGACCTCAAGCCCTTCCCCGGGTCTCTCCGGCCATTCGACAGCGAATCTTCCTCTCTTCCTGCCCACCCCTTTGCTCGGCCTCTCTAGGATTGCAGCTCGCTCCCTTTAACCCTGGATATCCCAGTCTATAAATTTAGGACCTCATCTGCCATTCCATTGTATTTGGGGGAAAGTGTGCCTTGCACAGGGAAGCGCATGCCTTGAATAAACCTTTGTTGGTCTTAAAGAGAGCCAGTTTGGTGTCGTGGTTTACGTGCGAGAACCGGGTTTGATTCCCCCACTCCTCCACTTGCACCTGGCCCTCTGGCCTTCCTCCCCCAACAACTGGCATATCTTCCAAAAATCATGATGTCCCTAAGCTGTGGAGTCTTGTGAGCAAAAATTCTGCTTTGTGAGCTACTGGCATTAAAATTGTGAGCGATAGATTTGGCTGGTTCATAGATTAGTTTGCTCTGGAGCCATCCTTCCTGAGCTAAGACAAAAATGTGTGAGCCAGAGGCTAAAAAACTGTGAGCTAGCAGCTCAGAGCTCACACCAGCTCAGCTTAGTGGTGTCCCCTTTGAACTGTGGGATTCAATTTGTGAGCTCCTGGCTTCTCCCACCCCTCCCCCAGGCAACATGGATTTTAGGAAGGCTGAAAACCAGCTTCTCTCTCATGGCTGCCACCAGACCAGGAAGGAAACTCTTTGTATAGTCACTGGGCTAGATATCACGGTAAGGTCTTGTACTTAATCATCCGAAGATCTGCATGGGAAGCAATGCTCCCTCTAAGCTGTGGAGTCCTGTGCGCAACAATTCTACTTTGTGAGCTACCGGCATTAAAGTTTTGAGTGAGCGATTTGGCGACCATATAAATTAGTTTGCTCTGGAGCAATGCTCCCTCTAAGCTGAGATACTGTGAGCTAGCGCACCGTTTTTTAGCCTCTGGCTCACACATTTTTCTCTTAGCTCAGGAAGGAGGGCTCCAGAGCAAACTAATTTATACAACAGCCAAATGGCTCCCTCACAACTTTAATGCCAGCAGCTCGCAAAATAGAATTTTTGCTCACAAGACTCCACAGCTTAGAGGGAACATTGCTCTGGAGCCATCGTACCTGAGCTAAGACAAAAATGTGTGAGCTGGAGGCTAAAGAACTGTGAGCTAGCTCACTCTAACTCAGCTTAGAGGGAACACTGACGGCAAGTTCAATGCGAAGGGTGGGGGGGATGAATCTTTGCCAGTTTGGTGTCGTGGTGAAGTGCGTGGACTCTAATCTGGGAGAACCGGGTTTGATTCCCCACTCCTCCACTTGCACCTGCTGGATGGCCTTGGGCAAGCCATAGTTCTGATAAGAGCTGTCCTTGAATAAGAGCCGTTTCTGTCAGAGCTCTCTCGGCCCCACCCACCTCACAGGGTGTCTGTTGTGGGGAGGGGAAGGGAAAGGAGTCTGTAAGCCGCTCTGAGACTCCTTTGGGTAGTGAAGGGCAGAGTATAAATCCAATCTCCTCCTCTTCTTCTTCTTCTTCTTTCTATTCTATTGAGAGCCAATTTGGTGTTGTGGTGAAGTGCGCGGACTCTAATCTGGGAGAACCGGGTTTGATTCCCCACTCCTCCACTTGCACCTGCTGGATGGCCTTGGGCAAGCCATAGTTCTGATAAGAGCTGTCCTGGAATAAGAGCCGTTTCTGTCAGAGCTCTCTCGGCCCCACCCACCTCACAGGGTGTCTGTTGTGGGGAGGGGAAGGGAAAGGAGTCTGTAAGCCGCTCTGAGACTCCTTTGGGTAGCAAAGGGCGGGGTATAAATCCAGTCTCTTCTCTCTCTTCTTCTTAAAGCTGCCACTGGACTCTAAATTTATTCTGCTGCTTCGGACCCACAGGGCTGGCCCCCTGGATCTACCTGGAGGGTGACAGTATTGGTCCGAAGCAATATAGAACAGACAAATTTAGAGTCCTGTGGCACCTTTCAGACCAAGAAAGGTTAATTCAAGGTACCAGCTTTCCTGTGCATCCACACTTTTTGGAATTCATTGGAAAGGAACCTAGAGGTTAAACACCCTGGAACAGAAATTAAACAAACAATAGTATGGGGTGAGAGGGGGAGTGAGAAACCCTAAAGGCACTCCAGGACAATATTTTGGAAAACAAAACATAGAAACAGCACACTTTTATTAACCCTTTCCCTCTTCAAATACTGGTGCTTCATTCAACTTTCCAACCCATCAAAGCCATTGTTTGCATCACTGGTTTTGCTCACATTCATTCCCTGTGCACAAGAACTCCTTTCCCTTTATTATTGCACTCGCTTTCATTTTGACCCACTGCCTGTACTTCACAAATGTTGAGAAGATGGAGGCCTTGAAGGACATTGTGCTCCCCACTTTTGATGGGGTTCAGTTAAGAGTCTCGGGGTTACTCTGGACCCAACATTACTACTTGAGAAACAAGTTAACGCAGTTGCAAAAAAGGTTTTTCTTCCAACTCAGCTTAGCTCAAAAGACGGCACCTCACCTTGATACAACTGATCTGGCCACCAGGACCCACGCCACAGTCACATCGAGACTAGACTACTGTCATGCTCTATACGTGGGACACCCCTCAAAGTCTACTCAGAAACTCCCGTTGGGGCAGAATGTTGCGGCTCAGCTATTATCAAGAGCTAGATGGGGTATGCATGTATCATGAGGTCTACCAGTGGAGCAAGAACATAAGAAGCCCCCCCCCCCCAATCCTGCCCACCACGTAACAAGAATACAGAGAATTTCTGCCCCAGACACAGTGTACCCATTATACCTTTTGGCTAAGAGCTACTGATGGACATCTGCTTCATGCTTTCCCCCAGTCCCCTATTGAATCTGCCTTTGCTTGCTGCGACCACTACTGCAACTACTTCAGTGTAGTGGTGAAGTGCGCGGACTCTAATCTGGGAGAGCTGGGTTTGATTCCCCACTCCTCCACTCGCACCTGGCTGGATGACCTTGGGCAAGCCGTAGTTCTGATAAGAGCTGTTCTTGAAAAAGAGCAGTTTCTGTCAGAGCTCTCTCAGCCCCGCCTACCTCACAGGGTGTCTGTTGTGGGGAGGGGAAGGGAAAGGAGTTTGTAAGCTGCTCTGAGACTCCCTTGGGTAGTGAAGGGCGGGGTATAAGTCCAATCTCTTCTTCCTCCTGGCTCACACTAACTCATCTTAGAGGGAACACTTTCCCCCCCTAGATTGCTAGCAACCAAGGCTCCCTCTAAGCTGTGGCGTCTTGTGAGCAAAAATTCTGCTTTGTGAGCGACTGGCATGAAAGTGGTGAGCGAGCGATTTGGCTACTGCGTCAATTAGTTTGCTCTGGAGCCCCTCCTTCCTGAGCTAAGGCAAAAATGTGTGAGCTGGAGGCTAAAACACTGTGAGCTGGCTCACACTAACTCACCTTAGAGGGAACACTGCAACCAAGGCTCCCTCTAAGCTGTGGCGTCTTGTGAGCAAAAATTCTGCTTTGTGAGCGACTGGCATGAAAGTGGTGAGCGAGCGATTTGGCTACTGCGTCAATTAGTTTGCTCTGGAGCCCCTCCTTCCTGAGCTAAGGCAAAAATGTGTGAGCTGGAGGCTAAAACACTGTGAGCTGGCTCACACTAACTCACCTTAGAGGGAACACTGGACGTGAGTGCCGTGTAAATTCAAAAAAGAAAACAAAAAGTAATTAAAAGGTAGACTGTGTAATCCAGTCTGCTGGTTTCTGGATATTGCCATTTTTGATGTCAGATTTGTGTTCATTTCTTCTTTTGCACAGAGGCTGGCTAGTTTGTCCCATGAACAGTAAAAAAGGTAAAGGTTCCCTTGCTGGAAAGTCAGTCGAATCCGACTCTGGGGTTTCCAAGCCGAAGAGCCAGCGCTGTCCGAAGACATTTCCATGGTCATGTGGCCAGCAGGACTAAACACCAAGGCACACAGAACTACCTTCCCACCGAAGTGGTCCCTATTTATCTACTTGCAATTTCTTGCTTTCGAACTGCTAGGTTGGCAGGAGCTGGAACTAGAGACGGGAGCTCACTCCGTCATGCGGCGCACTCGGGTCTCGAACTGCTGGACTACCGACCTTCCACAGCCTGCAGTCCAGCGTCTTAACCACTTGAGCCACCGCAGCTTCCATGAACAGAGCAGAGGGGAATGGTTGGCCACATGAGAGCATAGATCCCATTGGAAGACGAGCGGCTGTAAAAGCCAGAGATTGTGTAGTAGCTCATGTCCTTTTTTATTCACCTGTGCCGTTTTCTGAGACGGCTGAACAGCCCTGGGGCGTCCCGGGAGGGCGATCCCCTGCACCGTTTACTCCAGAGGAGCCCCACTGACTGAGCGGCATTACATGGCGTCGCTGCCGGCAGCCTGGCTGAAGCCCCACCGAACCGTCCGGGGGTCTGCAAAGGGACACTCGGCATTTTCTCCATTGGACTCTGCAGCACCGAGAGGGTTAAAGCAACCGAGCTGCTCGCTAGACCTGCCGGGCGAAGAGGGGGTGATGAATGGGGGGAAAGGACGGGGGGAGCCTCTCTGCAGATCAGTAACAGCCGGGAGGAGGAGGACTTTTTGCAGGCGGATCCTGGGACGGCTTGCTCACGAGTAGGTCCATTGGGGGTGGGGGAGAATAAGCTTTTCGTTCTTGGCACAGAGGAAGGCTCCTCTACTGTACCTGCGGGGTGGGGTATGGAGGATTTTAAAGTGCAATTTTCTTGCTTGTGTTTTAATGCTCATGCATTAGACCCGCACGGCGGCCCGCCTTGGTCTTTGCTTGGAGAGAGGCGGGCGGGAGATGCATTTTGTAATAAACGAGGATAAACAGCAATTGCATTCTCAGCCACGGGCGGCCCAGGAAGAAGTAATGAATTGCAACCGGCTCCTTCGCCTGCCAGGCATTTTAGCCTGTGGCGCCTCCCCCACCCTCCACCCGCTGCCACTCTGGGGGGCTCCCTGCCCCATCCTTGCTCCCGCTCATCCACGCAGCCCCCTCCCGCCCTGACCTGGAGAGACGCCCCCCCCATAAGAACAGAAGAGAAGCCAGTGTTGGATGAGACCAGTGGCCCGTCCAGTCCAACACTCCATGGTCACACAGTGGCCAAAAGCCAGGTGCCATCAGGAGGTCTGCCAACAGGGTCACATACAAAATGCCACATACAAAATGTTATGCTTAAATTGTGGAGCCCTCCAGAATATTCCCCTGGAAAGCACAAAGGGGTGGCCTCTGGAAGGCGAAATGGAAGAAGAAGAGATTGGATTTATACTCCGCCCTTCGCTACCCAAAGGTGTCTCAGAGCGGCTTACAAACTCCTTTCCCTTCCCCTCCCCAAATTTCTTCCTTTCAAACTGCTAGGTTGGCAGGAGCTGGAACTAGAGACGGGAGCTCACTCCATCATGCGGCACACTCGGGTCTTGAACTGCTGAACTACCGACCTTCCACAGCCTGCAGTTCAGCGTCTTAACCACTTGAGCCACCTAGACCTTGTGGCTAATAGCCACTGATGGACTTCTGCTCAATATCTTTATCCATAAGGACACAAGAGAAGCCTATGATGGATCAGGCCAGTGGCCCATCCAGTCCAACACTCTGTGTCACTGTCACACAGTGGCCAGAAATACCAGGTGCCATTAGGAGGTCCAGCAGTGGGGCCAGGGCACTAGGAGCCCCCCCCCACTGTTGCACCCCGCCCCCCAAGCACCAAGAATACAGAGCATCCCTCCGCCCCTTTTTCTCTGCTGGCTGCTTGGACAGAGCTTTGGCCAAACAAGGAGGCACCTTCAGGGGTCAAGCCCTGATCAGTCAAAAACTTGGCCCTGGGGCTCCAGTTTGTGCCTGGAGACTTGGCCCCCAGGACTCATGGCAGGCCAAGATCATACCATCCGCAGCAGGTTTTTAAAGAGAGAGAAGAAGAAGAGATTGGATTTACACCCCACCCTTCAGTACCCAAAGGTGTCTCAGAGCGGCTTACAAACGCCTTTCCCTTCCCCTCCCCACCACAGACACCCTGTGAGGTAGGTGGGGCTGAGAGAGCTCTGACAGAAACTGCTCTTTTTCAAGGACAGCTCTTATCAGAACCACGGCTTGCCCAAGGCCATCCAGCCAGGTGCCAGCGGAGGAGTGGGGGAATCAAACCCGGTTCTCCCAGATTAGAGTCCGCCCACCTAACCACTACAGCCAAATAGAGATGGTTGATTTTCCTGACTGACCAAACTGGCATGGCTTAAAAACCCTGACAACTAATGTAGCAAAGCAGCATTGATCCTGACGCACAAACTACAAGGACGCTCCTTCTGATCCCCCAGAGCAGTCCTTGGGGGGGGGGGGTTAGCTTCATCCTCCTCTGGTTTCTTTCTGCCTTTTTGATAACTTTTCCCCTCCCTCTTCACAGCCACCGTGGGAAAGGCCGTCTTCCCAGAATCTGAGGCGACCCAAGAGAAGGGGAAGGAGATGGAAGAGGAGGACCCGGAAGGCCCCGGAAGTGACCAGAGAGCAAGCCACGGTCCCCTTCCCCCCCTAGCAGGGAGCGGGGTTGAGTCCTGGGAAAGAGCCGTGCCAGAGATCCTGGCTAAGGACACCGTGACCTCAGATGAACATTGCCAGCGCTTCCGGCAGTTCCGCTACCGTGAGGCCGACGGGCCCCGAGAGGTCTGCAGCCAGCTCCATGGACTTTGCAGCTGCTGGCTGGAGCCGGAGAGGAACACCAAGAAGCAGATGCTGGACCTGGTGATCCTGGAGCAGTTCTTGACCATCCTGCCCCAGGAAATGCAGGGCTGGGTCAGAGGATGCGGGCCGGAGACCAGTTCCCAGGCGGTGGCCCTGGCCGAAGGCTTCCTCCTGAGCCAGGCAGAGGAGAAGAGGCAGGCAAAGCAGGTGAGGGGAGGTTTCCTTTGCTCAGTTCAAGGGATGACCTTTTCCTATGGCTTCCCTGCCAGACATTTCTACTTCTAGCAGGGGTGCAGCCGGAAAACTTCGGGTGGTGGGGTGTTGAACCAGCGCTGCCGGTCAATTGAGAGCCAGTTTTGCGTAATGGTTAAGTGTGTGGACTCTAATCTGGGAGAACCGGGTTTGATTCCCCCACTCCTTCACTCGCACCTGCTGATGTGACCTCGGGTCAGTCACAAGCTCTGACACAGCTGTCCTTGAAAAAGAGCAGTTTCTGTCAGAGCTCTCTCAGCCCCACCTACCGCACAGGGTGTCTGTTGTGGGGAGGGGAAGGGAAAGGAGTTTGTAAGCCGCTCTGAGACACTAAGTGAAGGGCGGGGTATAAATCCAATCTCTTCTTCTTCTACCGCACAGGGTGTCTGTTGTGGGGAGGGGAAGGGAAAGGAGTTTGTAAGCTGCTCTGAGACTCCAAGAGAAGGGCGGGGTACAAATCCAATCTCTTCTTTTTTATTTATTTATTTTATTTATTTATTTGGGACTTGTATCCCGCCCTACCCAATGGCTCAGGGCGGCTAACAGACGACCATGCCGAGATTCTTCTTCTTCAATGCAGGGATGAGGAGTCTGCGAACGGGGCAGGATTCGTCCCCTCAGCCTGTTCGATTCCTCCTCTGACCTGTGTCCCTTGCTGTTTTTTCAGGTGTGGGGACCATCTGTGAAGAGGGCGGCGAAGTTCTCTGAGGCAGGAGGAGCTCCGTCAGAGGAAACTCAGTGGGCGCAGGCCCAGGAGGGTGCCCAAGATGCCCGGTCAAGTGGTAAGGGTGCCTCCTGCCCAGATGGGATTGGGGCACCTGGTCAATTTGTTGGGTGGAAGGTCTGGGACAGGAGGAAAAGGTAGTTCTTCTGCTCTCTACGCAGAGTGGACTTCTGGGACTTAGTGCCCCAAGGGTGTAGGGATGGCCTCTCACTTGAAGGGGGAGTTGACAGATTCATGGAAGGCAATCCCCATTCTTATTTGCATGGAGTAAAATCTTCACATCTCACCTTCCTTCCTTCCATCAGAAGGACTCAAGGGGGCTCAAATGAGAAAAGGAGGAGACATTTGGGTGCAGCTGTTACCCAGGGTGAATAAGCGGAACCTCCGTGTTCTCCTGACCTGAATGACCCAGACTAGCCCAATCTTACCTCAGAAGCGAAGCAGAGTCGGCTCTGGTTCCTACTTGGATGGGAGTCCAGCAGAGACATCCGGGGTCGCTCTGCAGAGGCAGGCAGTGGCACACCCTCCCTGAACGTCTCTTGCCTTGAATAACTGTGGGGGTCACCAGAAGTCGGCTATGACTTGAGGCCGCTTTCCACACACGCAGATTCACACCACGTTCTGATGCCGCCTACCTCCGAAAACCCGTTGCCAGGGGGCCAATAATTTGGTTTCTGTGCCCCTGCTCCAAGTCTTTCTGGGAACTCCTGGTGGTCCACAGTCACAAAGAGGATACTGAACTAGGGACGCCGTCACGTATTTGAGCTCCAGAGTTCACAGGGCACATTTCAAGTCTCCCAGAAGTCTGAAACGTCTCGCCAGAATGTCTTCATTCCCCCCCCTCCCCCAATGTTCATGAGCACCTGGCGCTTCTCCTTATCCCACAATTTATTAAAATCCGTGTTAAAATTTTCTGAGTGTATATAGGGCAAAGTTTCAGGTGTGTGTGTGTGTGAAGTGGGTAGAAGACTGGAACATGCTAATGAACTCGGGAGTCTAGGCAGACACCTTTCCTTCCTCCTTTCTCTCTCTCAGGTGATGAGGAAACGGTGTTGAGCCCTCAATTTTGCACAGATCTGGAAAGAGCTGCGGAAGCTGCACTCCAGGTAGGGGAGATGAGTGGGGGGACAGCCTGGCCCCCCCCCTTTTCTCAAGGGGGCTTTTGCTCCTGCAGTGGCCGCTGAGGGGCCTGAGCGACAGAGGTTCTAAAGGCCGCTCCTTTCTGGTGTGTGTTCTCTGCCTGGCGTGATCTCTGACGAGGGAATCTGATTTTTCCTTCCAGTGTCCCGTTTCCTTTGAGGAGGTGGCCGTGGATTTCACTGAGGGGGAGTGGGCCCTGCTGGATCCGGGCCAGAGAGCTCTCCACTGGGAAGTCATGCTGGAGAACTACGGGACCGTGGCCTCTCTGGGTAAGGACCTTCCACGGGTGGGAAAGGTGCCAACTTCCGCCACTGGGGATGATGCGGGGATCAAAATTTTGAACAGCGATACGTTGTTTTGATGCCTGCCCAGGTTGGGGTTTCCAGTGCTGGGGTGGCCCAAGCCACCTGGCAGGTTCAGGGGCAACTGAGGCAAGAAATTGTGGCCCTCATCACCCAAGCCAGAGAAGGTGTCCTGACCTGTGGACGAGGCGGGGATGAGAGGCCCTCAGAAAGCCTCTGGAAGGGGCCGCAACCTAATTTCTCTGTTGTCAGTCTTTACAGCATGTCCTTAAGCACATAGGAAAAGATGAGCAGATGAAGGGCCGTGCTGGATCAGACCAGTGGTCTATCCAGTCCAGCCTCCTGCCTCACCCAGTGGCCAACTAGTTCCTTTGGAGGGCCAGCAATCGGGCAGAGAGGCTGTGGCCTTCCACCCTGGCTAGTAGCCACTGATAGACCTATCCTCCATTAATGTGTCTAATTCCCCCTTTTAAAGCTGTCTATTCCTGTGGCCATAGCTACAACCTCTGGCAGTGAATCCCACATTTTCATCACTCTCTGCGTAAAGAAATATGTCCTTTTGTTTGTCCTGAATCTACATCCCACGAGCTTCATTGGATGGCCTTGAGTTCTAGCATTTGGGGAGCAGGAGATAAAATTACCTTTGTCGGCTCTTTCCGCCCCTTGCCTGATGTTATAAACCTCTATCGCGTTGCCCCCTTAATTGTCTCTTTGCTAAACTGAAAAGCCCCAGACTCCTCAGCCTTTCCTCCATAGGGAAGATACTCCAATCCTCTGATTATCTTGGCCACAGGAGGTGACGGCGGCTACAAGCATGGACAGCTTCAAGAGGGAATTAGATAAGCATATAGAGCAGAGGTCCATCGGTGGCTATTGGCCACAAGGAATAGAAGAAGGAGGAAGATACTCCAATCCTCTGATCATATTGGTTGCCCTTTGCTGCACTTTTCCCAGGTCTGTGACGTCCTTTTTGAGAAGTGGTGACCAAATGTACACCGCATTCCAAATGAGGCCGCAGCATAAATCTGTAAAGGGGCGTTACGCTATCAGCTGCTTTGCTTTCAGTCCCTTTCCTAATCATCCCTAACACAGAGTTCCCCTTTTTCACCGCTGCAGCACGCTGGGTAGACACTTTCACTGAACTGTCCACTACAACCCCAAGATCTCCCCCCCCACACACACACACACACTTTGTCTCAGCAAGTTCAGACCCTGTTGGCCAACACCTGGAGCTGGAATTTTTTTTTGCCTCACTGTGCATCGCAATAAACTTACCAACACTGAACTTCGTTTGCCACATTGTCGCCCCACTCACTCAGGGTGATTTCCCACAAGCGCTGCTCCGCGCTCACTCTTCTCTTTGGCCCGATGGTACGTGTCAATTTCACACAAGCTGCCGCGCGGCCGCATTTTGCCCCGCAGCTTCGTGCGATTTCCCCCGCGTCTACTCAGTCCTGTTTTTTGAAGATTGAGTAGACGCGGGGAAAATCGCACAAAGCTGCAGGGCAAAATGCAGCCACGCAGCAGCTTGTGTGAAATTGACACGTACCATCGGGGCAAAAGGGAGGAGTTGAGCGCGGAGCAGCGCTTGTGGGAAATCACCCGCAATTTGTGGAGAGCCATCTTGGAACCGCACAGTCAGGCCTGGTATTCACCATCCGGAATAATAATTCTGAGCCATCTGCAGACTTGGCCGCTACACTCCTCTCCCCTAGTTTGAGGCTGTTTATGGACAAATTAAATAATACCTGCCCCCATACTCATCCTTGTGGAAATGCCAATAGTTAGCCAGGGCTCTACTGGTAGCAGGAGCTCCTTTGCATATTAGGCCACACACCCCTAGTGTAGCCAGTCCTCCAAGAGCTTACAGGAGCCCCAGTAAGAAGAGCTCTGTAAGCTCTTGGAGGATTGGCTACACTAGGGGTGTGTGGCCTAATATGCAAAGGAGCTCCTGCTACCAGTAGAGCCTAACTTACTTACTTCCAATGTGAGAAACTGTCCATTTATTCCTGCTCTGTGTTTCCCGTCATTTTGATTCATAAGTGAACCAGTCCAATTTCCCCATGTCTGCTAAGTTTACTCAGGACTCGCAATGTTCCCTCTAAGCCGTGGAGTTTCATGAGCAAAAATTCTACCTTGTGAGCTACGGGTATTAAAATTGTGAGCAAACGACCTGCCTGCTGCATAAATCAGTTTGCTCTGGAGCCCTCCTTCCTGAGCTCAGACAAAAATCTGTGAGCCAGAGGCTAAAAAACTGTGAGCTAGCTCACACGAACTCAGCTTAGAGGGAACACGGCTCAGGAGTCTTTAGTGAGGTACCCTGTCAGATGCCTTTTGAAAGTCCAGGTATATAGTGTCTATCGGGTCTGTATTGTCTGCATCCTTGTTCATATTCTCAAAAAGCTCTGTAAGGTTGGTTAGGCAGAAGCCGTGCGTATTTTTCCTCACCCGGCTTTTTTCCTCTATGCATCCAATAATTCTGTCTTTGATTACAGTTTCTACTAATTTACCTGGGACAGACGTTAGGCTGACTGCCCTGTAGTTTCTTCGTTCTTCTCTGGGCCCCTTTTTAAAAACTTCACCCAAAGAGTGATTTAACACATGGAATTCACTGCCACAGGAGCTGGTGGCAGCTACAAGTATGGACGGCTTCAAGAGGGAATTAGATAAGCATATGGAGCAGAGGTCCATCAGTGGCTGTTAGCCACAAGGTATAGATAGGAATTCTCAGGCTGGGGCAAGTGATGCTCTGTATTCTCGGTGCTTGGGGGGGGCAACAGTGGGAGGGGCTTCTAGTGTCCTGGCCCCACTGCTGGACCTCCTGAGGGCACCTGGTATTTTTGGCCACTGTGTGACAGAGTGTTGGACTAGATGGGCCTTTGGCCTGATCCAACAGTGGTGTCTCTTATGTTCTCTTATGTTCTTATGTTCTTAACTGGTGTCATATTCGCTAATCTCCAGTCTTCTGATACAGTGGCTGAATTAAAATAAAAGAAATAGATTTTTAATTTAAATATTTTTTAAAAACCAGATATACACATCAAGTACACACCCCACTCCCCATATAGAAGAACAACCTACAGTGTACACATAACAACAAATAAAAACAAAAAAGAGAGAGAGAAAAGACAAGTAATGAACAAGCAAATTAAGGCATTGGTAGAGAGCTCAACATTCAGCATAAACAAACATGCAATGTGTTGTCGAAGGCTTTCACGGCCGGAGTTCATTAGCTGCTGTAGATTTTCTGGGTTGTCTGGCCGTGGTCTTGGCATTGTAGGTCCTGACGTTTTGCCAGTAACTGTGACTGGCATCCTCAGAGGTATAGCACAGAAAGATGGAGTGCTCTCTGTGTCAAGGTGAGAAGAAAAATGGTAGGCAGGTAATTTATATCTACTCAGGAAGGTGGGGTAGGGCTGAGTCATTATCTTGTAGGAGTTCCCCAGGCTATGAACATGCTAATGGAGGAGCTTTCCTGAGGTAGTTCTTTTGTCTGTGGATTGTTTCCTGAGGAGGTTTCCTGTTTCCTGAGAAGGTTCTTTTCCTGTTTCCTGAGGAGGTTCTTTTGTATGTGGATTGGCTGCTGAAATTCTAATCTTATCTGTAGTGCTATTGTTTTTCAGGACAGAAAAGCAAGCCCTATTTATTTTTAAACTCTCTTCTTTCCTGTTGAAATTGTGTTTATGTTTATGAATTTATGAATATAAACACAATTTCAACAGGAAAGAAGAGAGTTTAAAAATAAATAGGGCTTGGTTCCTGTTGAAATTGTTGAAATTGTGTTTAAGCAGTTGCTTAAGAGTAGAAGAGGTCGAAGGCTCGTGAACCCTTTCCACTGCCTTCACCTGAATGCCTTTAGGTCTTATCAACCCCCCCCCCCCCCCCATAGGCAGCGCCTCTCCAAACAAACCCCTTGGGGGGGGGGGTTGAAAGGAGGAGGTTGCTTTTTTAAATCTTGGCTTCCCCCCCCCCCCAGCAAACAAGCATTTTTGGGAGGCTGAAAACCAGCCCCTCATGACTCTTGTCACAACTCGAAGGAAACTCTCAGTGCAGTTGCAAGACTGGATGTCATGGTAACTTCTTGTATTTAATTCTCAAGGGCAGAGAATCAAAAGAGCTATGAGGAAAGTCAAATGTAAACAGTGGGGGAATCATTCCTTGCCCCCTTTCCCCTTAAAGTACCTACAGAGGGGGGTGGGAAGAGGAGGGTCGCCATAATATAAGAAGAGCTTTACTGGAAGGCCTGGATTGGGCAAGGTGTGGCCAGCAACTCAGATTGGTGGGAAAGAAGTTCTGGTAAAGGAATTGCAAACCCCATTAATGACCAGTGCCTGATTGATGGTTTGGCTTCTTGTGTGGCTCCCGGTTAGACCTCTGTCTTTATTTCAGCATTAAGAAGCCACTGAAATATCCACAGAGTAGATGTAGACAAACGACCTTGTGTGGGCTCTAATAGGATCTCTCTCTTTATCCTGGCAGGGAACGATGAGAGGAATGAGGATGATGAGGCACTTCGTCACCTGTTGCCAGATGTAGTCAAGAATGAAGACATGAGAGGAAACTTGAGGAATCAAGGCAGACATAAGAGGCAAAAAGGAAGCCACGTGTTCGAGAAGAGGGATGCAACCATTCCTTGCCAAGGGGGGAATTTCCATGATGTAATTCATAAGGTGGAGGAAACATACATGAACTTCTCAGATCAAACCCAATATAATATCTATTTACGAATGCATAGTAGAAAGAAGACCCATCAATGCCTGGAGTGTGGAAAGAGTTTCATTTGTAGAGCAGAACGAATTAGACACCGAAGAACACATACAAGAGAGAAACCTTACCGCGGTTCACACTGTGGCAAGAGCTTCTCAGAGAAATCGGACCTTGTTCACTCAGGAGTGAAACTGTTTCCCTCCTCAGAGGGTGGAATGACGTCCTCTGATGGAAAAAAGGGTAATATACATTTTCCAAAGCACAGCATAATGAAGGCCTGTAAGTATTTTCGGTGTGGAAAGGACGTCAAATACAGACCAGAGCTCCTTATGCACCAAAGAATCCACAGAGGGGCGAAATCTTCTGAATACACAGGGAGTGGAAAGAAGTTGAGTCAGAGCGGTACTCTTCAAGAACATCAAGGAATCCACACCAGGAACAAGAGTGGCACTCTTCAACAGCATCAAAAAACCCTGAGAGGGAACAAATCTTTTGAATGTTCAGAGTGTGGAAAGAGATTCACACAAAATGGAAGTCTTCAATATCATCGAAGAACCCATACAGGGGAGAAACCTTTTGAATGCTCAGAGTGTGGAAAGAGATACCGTAGTAGTGGCCTTCTTAAGGTACATCGAAGAATCCACACTGGGGAGAAACCTTTTGAATGCTCAGAATGTGGAAAGAGATTCAGTCGGAGTGGCACACTTAAACGGCATCAAAGTACCCACACGGGGGAGAAACCTTTTGAATGCATAGAGTGTGGAAAGAAATTCTGTCGGAGTGGCTCTCTTCAACAACATCAAAGAAACCACACAGGTGAGAAACCTTTTGAGTGCTCAGAGTGTGGCAAGAAGTTCAGTCAAAATGGCACTCTTCAGCAGCATCTAAGAACCCACACCGGGGAGAAACCTTTTGAATGCTCAGAGTGTGGAAAAACATTCCGGCAGGGTAGCACTCTTCATGAGCACCAAAAAATTCACACAGGGGAGAAACCTTTTGAATGTTCAGAATGTGGAAAGAAATTTAGTCGGAGTGGTGAGCTTCAAAGGCACCGGAGAACCCACACAGGGGAGAAGCCCTTTGAATGTTCCCAGTGTCGAAAGAGCTTCACCTTGAGAGACCAACTTCAACAACATCAGAGAATCCACACAGGAGAGAAACCTTTTGAATGTTCAGAGTGTGGAAAGAAATTCAGTCAGAGTGGCCATCTTCAACTGCACCAAAGAACCCACACAGGGGAGAAACCTTTTGAATGCTCAGAGTGTGGAAAGAAATTCAGCCAACATAGCTCTCTTTACCAGCATCATAAAACACACACAGGGGAGAAACCTTTTGAATGCTCGGAGTGTGGAAAGAAATTCAGTCGGAGTGGCTATCTTCGACTGCACCAAAGAACCCACACAGGGGAGAAACCTTTTGAATGCTCAGAGTGTGGAAACAGATTCAGTTGTAGTGGCAGTCTTCAGCTGCATCGAAGAACCCACACAGGGGAGAAACCTTTTGAATGCTCAGAGTGTGGAAAGAGCTTTACCTGGAGATCGCAAATTCAGCGGCATCATAAAACTCACACAGGGGAGAAACCTTTTGAATGCTCAGAGTGTGGAAAGAGATTCAGTTGTAGGAGCACTTTTCAAAAACATTTAGGAACCCATGTAACTGCTTAGCCCGTGAATAGCGCTTTTCTCCTATTTAACATTTAAAAGACAACCACAGACTATGCAAAGCACTGAAACAATGTAAAGTGTTGTAAAGAGCTTAAATCTACACAGCAACCTTACCCTAATTGGGAAGAAATGTTATAAATTGCGAGGACTGTGGAAAGAGCTTTAGCCACATTCAAAACCTTGAATAGATCCCACAAGAAAGAAATTAAGGATGGGAATGGGGATCTCCTTAGTTTCGAGGAGCCCACCCAGGGGAGAAACCTCTTCTATGCTCTGTGTGTGGCAAGTGCCTGAGGCACAGATCCGACTTTCATGTTCCTCAGAGAATCCATATGAGGGTAAACATGTATAGGACTGCCAGGTTCTGATGAGGGTCTTCTTCAAAGGCTCACATTTTTGAGGTTCAAAAAGGCTCGGAAAGTAGTTACACAAAGAAAGGACTTTTAGCCAGTGTTAAGAGCGGTGGACTCTAATCTGGAGAACTGTGTTTGATTCCCCACTCCTCCACATGCAGCTGCTGGATGACTTTGACCATGTCACAGCTCTCTCAGAGCTCTCTTGGCCCCACCTGCCTCACAGGGTGTCTGTTGTGGGGAGAGGAAGGGAAAGGAGATTGCAAGCCGCTTCAAGACTCCTTCGGGTAGAGAAAAGCAGGGTATAAAAACAACTCTTCTTCTCCTGCTCCTTCTTCTTCTTTTCTCCTTTGTGAAACTAACTACTTCAGGTTTTCTGCCAAGCTAACTCTTTCCGACATCTGGAATTTTGGCTGTTACATACAAAGTATTAAAGCATTGGCTGTTGCATACAAAGCCCTTCATGGTCTTGAACTGCCATATTTGCGAGACCGCCTCTCCCACTCTTTGCCACCACGACAGCTTCGCTCATCTGAGTGGGGTCTTCTGCAGGTGCCAACCAGCAAATGGGCAAAATCAACAACCGCCCATAACTGCGCCTTCTCCGTTGTGGCCCCCGCCCTAAGGAATGGCCTGCCAGGAAGGCTTCTACTCTCCTGGCTTTCCACAAACTATCCAAAACAATGATTCAAGAGAGTTTTTCTACGCATGCAATAGAGTACTAAATGACTCACAAAATTACTTGGATAAATGATTGGGGACTGTGGGCTATTGTACTGTGTTCAGGATCCTGCTATGTAATTTTTGAATCATTTAATGGGTCATGCTAAGATAGTTTTACTTGAATCCTGTTTTTAGACATCTGATTGGTTCTACAGCCCTAATCCTATTGTGTGGTTTATTGAACGCTCCATCTTGTTGATTGTATTGACTCATTCTGTGTAATCTGCCTTGAGTCCAGGCAAACTATAAACAACAAATAAATAATATCCGGCTGAGGCTTCTCATCTCCCCAAGCCCCACCCTCTCCAAGGCTCAACCCCCAAATCTCCAGGAACTTGTCAACCTGTAAATGGCAATGCTAGGAAGGCCTGGGCCCTATTGGACCTCCCTCAAAGGCCTAAGGACCCTGTCTGCTCCCATTGCCTTTCACTTACAGAAACCCAGTATGAAGTGTTGTGGGTGCCTAGCAACAGCAACTGCGGCAATCCATTTCTTAAAGCTACAGGTGCTCGTTTTATCATTTTTTTAAAAACCCATACATTTTTTCCTAATATAGTTCACATTTTTATGCAACCCTGGGAATTCTTCAGCTTGTAGAAAGATCTGTCTTCCCCTTCACAGCTCCAGTCACCACAATTGGGTATGCTCAGGTTTGGCCAACTTCTCTATTAGAATATGTGATTTATTTTATTAAAACATGTATGTCTCGTTTTCCTTGCGGTTCAAGTCAACTTACAGTAATACTTAGATACATTTTCAGCTGGAACCATAAATAACATAGCAAGCTACGCATCTATCCCCCCTTGCCCTCTTAAAAGATGCCTGCCATTCAAAAGTCCGCAAAAGCTCCGGCAAACAAGTAGGCCGGGGGCAGTTCCTCCGAGAGATCTCCAAGGAGGGGCCCCACTCACCTCTTCAGGGAGCCCTGCTAAATGGTGCAGCTTAGATGGGTTGTGTGTCAAAATATCAGCTTTTTGGTTATTGTCAGAATGCTTCTGAGTTCTCTTGTGTAGGAGAGGTGTACAAACCTCCCAATTAAAGGAGGAAGAAATCTAATAAACAGAGAAACAGCATCAGTCCCTAGGTTTCAACATCTGGATGTGGTTTCCTTCCTTACCCATGTTTCAGGCATGTTTTTGGAGTTGCAACTGCTTCAGTGGCTGTGAGGGGAGGTCTGTTCTAGGAAAGAGGGGGTGGAGAGCGTTCCTCCCTTCAAAGACCCCGGTCACATGGAGATTTTGCCATGCGAAAGGCACGAATGTCGGGCGGATTTTCGGGGCACAATCACACCACAACATCTGGGAAGCGTAGCACACCCGTGGCGTCCCGCCGAAGATGCGGAGTTAAAAGGTACCAAGGAAAGTGCACCAGTTTGGTGTAGTGGTTAAGTGCGAGGACTCTAATCTGGGAGAACCGGGTTTGATTCCCCACTCCTCCACTTGCACCTGGCTGGATGACCTTGGGTCAGTCACAAGCTCTGGCACAGCTGTTCTTGAAAAAGATCCGTTTGTGTCAGAGTTCTCTCAGCCCCACCCACCTCACAGGGTGTCTGTTGTGGGGAGGGGAAGGGATAGGAGTTTGTAAGCCGCTCTGAGACTCCAAGTGAAGGGCGGGATATAAATCCAATCTCTTCTCTTCTTCGTCTAGTATCCAGAAAATGTGCGGCACAGGCAGGCGTCTGATCGCGGGAGCGCTAGTATCCCGTGGCATCCGGCGCCCATCCACATCCCGTCGCAAACCGTACGTTTTTCGTAAGCGCATGTGCACAAACACAACACTGAAAGCAGTGCTGCTCCGCGGAACTGCGCATGCGCACAAACGCGAAACGCTTGTGTGATCTTTGTCACGCTGCAGCATCACTGTGTGATCACCAGCTAATAGCCTAAGCATGGAGATTCGGGGGACTGTGTGATCGGGCTACCGCGCTTTATTTTGCTCTGGGGTGAACAGCCACGCCTCCCCCCCCCCCCCCCCCCCCCCGTGTTATCTGTCCTGTGTGACCGGGGCCAAAGTAGACTTTTCTTCCGACTACACTGTTAAAGGAGGATGACAGGGATGTGGGGTGGGGAAACTTTCCAGTACTTTCTTTTTCTGCCAAAGCATTTCCATCTCTAAAGATTTCTCGTTTCGTAAATTTAATAGTGAATGGCGTGTCATTGCCAATACAACATTAGGGCAGCATGGCAGTTTCCAAACTGTAATGAGTGTTGTTTAGGTAAGATGTTGGCTACCATTTGGGGGTTGTCAATTTTATTTCCTTCTGTGCACAACAGCTAGTAAAGGGTTAAGAAGCAGAGAGTGCTGCAGTTCCTAGACAGGAGACAAAAAAGGAGGAAAGAAATACTGAAGTCCTCTAACTTCCTCTTTTTGTGATCTGGCTTTGCTTGCAGGAGAGCTGGAGGATTGGGGCTTCAGAAGCCCAACTGGGGAGTGCCGGGGTGGGTAAAGGGAAGCGGGGCAGGGAGGGAAAATGGCCCTGGGTTGGACTGCCTGGCAAAGAGGTCTCTATGGGTCCCACGTCAGAGCAAGGCCAGGAAGAAGGTCAGGCTGGCCTCTAGTACAGTGGAAAATTATTCCGTTTGGCATTGTTTGCAAAAAGCCAGGAAACTGGGAGCCTTCCTAACCCCATCAGGCAGGCCATTCCATGAGGTCGGTTCAGTCAAAGACCCCCAAGTCCTGACTCGGCTGAAGGATCTTTGTTGGAAGGGCTGCAGCAAACAAAATTACAAAACCCTGGAGGGTGACTGCTCACACCCCTGTTTGGTAGGCTGCCACCAGTCCTTTTTGACTATCCCAGTGATTACATTAGTCCCATTCAGGGCCTAAACCGGAAAGTCAGCCCTGCGAGGTAGTCCTGTGGAACGAGTTTCCAACAAAAGCAATTATTTGGGTATGCGGTCACTCGGTCAAAACCACTGGATTTATATATTTCTTTATAAGTTCAATTTATACCCCGCACTCCCTGCTACGCGAGCTCAGGACGGCTTACAAAGAGGCACAAGCCAATATAAAACATTTAAAACCATTTAAAATCACTACAGTACAGTAACATTAATATTAACAAAAGTGCTCTAGATGTTCTACCATGATATTCCACAGATGGCATATTACAACTACTCTATTACACTGCTCTACCTACTCAGCATCATCTGTTCTGGGAAACGCTGATGTTCCTTCTTCCAGGGCCGGGTTATGATGGAACAGTAGTGATGGTAGTGGCGGCTCCTACTCATACGCCTGGCGGAAGAACTCCGTCTTACAGGCCCTGCGGAACTGTGCAAGGTCCCGTAGGGCCCGGATCTATTCCATTGTCCAGACGTGATGTAGGCACATAGCCGGGCGACGCTCTAGCAATGGTACCATCGAGTTTCCAGCCCCATTACCAGAGCGTCGCCCAGCTATGTGCCTACGTCACGTCAGAATAGTGCAGCGCCTATGTTACAAGCAAGAATCTTCCGGCGGGGAAGCATGTGTCCCCCGCCGGTTCGTAGGTAGGTACTTGGCAACCCTAATTTGGAGAAAAAATATCCTTGAGTTTGCCTCTGTCATTTCTCCAAAGCAGCCATTTTATCCAGGGAAACTGATCTCCGTCACCTGGACAACAGCTGTAATTGTGGGTGACCTCCAGCCCTCACCTTGAGGCTAATACGAAAACTGAGGGTCATAGTGTCAGGAGAATATACAAAAATATATAGCACGGTGTACAATAAATATATGTTTATAGTAGAACCATTTGTGCTTTATTCTTTTTCTTTGTTGTATTTTTCAATACTAGTTATCTAAATATTAGTATCAAATATTGTCAAAAATATATTTCACCCAAGCAGGGCTACTTTTGGGCAGGAACGCACAGGAACGAAGTTCCGGCTGGCTCCCAAGTTGACCTCGCCCAGCAGGAACTCATTAGCATAATAGGCCACACCC